TCACGAAAAAAAATTATTCAAATATTCAAAAGCCACTAACAACTTCGTCTATAGAAATGCAAAGACATCGATAGCTTCAATTAACACAAATAGGAAGTCATTCAAATTTATGAAAGTCATCGATAGTTTCATCCATCGACGGCTTTGATTCACACAAACAAGTCATTTAAATATTTAGAAGCCATGATAGCTTTGTCTATAAAAATGGAAGCCATTAATAACTTTAGTTCATATAAATAGAAAGCCATGTCAATTTCAATTCATCAAATTAGAAAACGACCGATGAATTCATCTAAATGAATGGAAAGCCACCAACGACTTTAGTTCATATAAAAAAAAAGTTGTTTAAATATTCAAGAGCCACCAATAACTTCATCCATAGAAATATAAAGTCACCGATAGCTTTGATTCACATAAACAAAAAGTCATTCAAATATTTAGAAGTCACCAATAGCTTCATCCATAAAAATGAAAAGCTACCAATAGCTTCAATTCATACAAATAGGAAGCCACTTAGTGACTTCAATTCATCAAATTAGGAAGCCATTGATGACTTTGCCAATATGAATATGAAACAATCAACAACTTCAGTTCATATAAGTCAAAAGTTGTTTAAATGTTTAGAAGCTATTGATAGCTTCGTCTTTCAAAATAGAAAACCACACCGATAACTTCAGCTTTACACAAACGTAAAATCACTAGTGATTTTGATTCATCAAGTTAGGAAGCTATCGATAACTTCGTCCATATGAATGGGAAGCCACCAACGACCTCAATTCATACAAGTAGAAAGTTGATCAAATATTCAAAAGTTATTAATAGCTTCATCTATAGAATGGAAAGCTACCGATGGTTTTGATTCTTAAAATGACAAGTCATTCATATACACATATCATGCTTTGAAACTAATCATCACACAATCAAGATATCACAATCAAAATACTAGATTAACCATATCACCCAAAACAAACACAAAATATTCAAGTATGCACACCGTAACCAACACTCATTCTAGATGAATCATTAAAATTAAATTTCAATCTCATCCTTCTAGCTCCATCATAGAACATTAAACACCAACCTTATTACTCTTCAAAATACATGTGATTTTCTATCTTATCGGTTTCGATATGTAACAACATATCTAACAATGCTTCAAATTTCTCAAACACATTCAAATATGCATTTATATATCTCATTCATAAAAAAAATAATAACATGCAAAAAAATTACAGCATTTTCATTTAATATATTAAACAAGTATAATTAGTTTCAAAATTTACCCAAAATAACTATTGAAAAGTATTAAGTTAATAAAATTATTTTTGATAGGTTTACTTTCTTGAATCTCGATAAAGATAGACTGTTGGGTCAGCTAGAGAGGGAAAGTTTGTTGATGTGATTGTGGGTCTCACTGCTGCTGTGAATGGTGTGGCTGCCATTTTAGTTATGACTACTCACGACTGTGGAGATTGTTGTCTCGATAAAAGGTGGCTGCCACAACTAGAATAGATTGTTGGAGTCATGACTGGTTAGAGAAGCTGCTAGAATAGTGATCGGATGGCTGAAGAGGCTGTTGGAATGACGGTTCGCAGTTGTGAGCTATTGTTGGCATGGTGGTGACCTGCGATTGTGAAGGAGCCAAGAATAGTGACTTGCGGCTATGAAGAGCTATTGGAGTAGTGGTGACTTGCGACGATGAAGAGCTGTTGGAGTAGTAGCTCATGGCTGTGGAGCTACTACAGCCACTAGAGAGGAAGAGTAGGTGAATAGGTGTAAGGGTGGCAACGACAAGGAGGCTGGGTAGCTGGGTTTTGGTGGAGTGGTTCTAGAGTGACCATGGTGGCTAGGTTGGTGTGGAACGTAATTAATGGAAGGGCTTGCACGGTTTCAAACTGGAAGTAGCAACGGTCAAGACGGAAGTTATCAGTGGAGGCCTGTGCGGTAGTTAACGACATGAAAATAAGCGGTGGTCAATAGCACGGTCAGACAGTGGCTATCAGTGGAGGAGGGTTCGACTGGACATATTTCTTTTCTTTTGTAGGGGTCATGAACAATAGCTGACCTGTCTCTTAATAGAGAGGAAATGGTGTTTCTAGGAGTAAACATCGAAGCAGTTACTTCATTTGTCTATTTTTTAGGATAGAGATATATATATATTAAAAAAAAAATCGTATTCGAATTCAATGGAAAGTGATAAGAAGATTTCAACTTTGACTCAAAATTTTTTTTTTATTTCTCTCATCTTTGTATCTATCTCTTTTTATGGAGTAACTTACATTTGTTATTCTTCGGTATTATAAAATTTCTAATGTTTTCATATAAGGATTTTTTTTTTTGAAAAAAAAGGTTAATTTTAGTCCCCGATTCTTCTACCTTTTTCAATTTTAGTACAAATCACTTTGATTTTTTTCAATTATCTCCTTAATTGAAATTATTCAAGCCCTTTTCTTTTAATTTCTTTCAATTGTGTCCCTTTTATATTCAATTAAGGCTCTCGGATTTCAATTTTTTTCAATTAAGTCTCTAATTTGATTTTATTTGGTCTTAATTTCTCACATCTTTTTAATTGGACCCCTAAATCATTTTTTAATTTATTCTCTTTTCTCTTCTTTTCTTCTCTCTTTTTTGTATTTTTTTCGTACAAAAATTTAAAAAAACAATGAGGTAAAAATTAGGTGTTAACATCACTAAACAAAACACCGTAAGAAAATCACTATATTAAATTTTCACCTCAATCAATATTAAAATTATAGTCTAATTAAGACTCATAAGATGAGTGACTCACACTCAAAACTATCAAATTTTTCTGACCTCTCCTTATATTTTGCTGCTCTCACTTATCTAGCAATTTTTTTTTTTTTGTTGGGTTAATGTTTGTAGTGGTTCTTCTACTTTTTTTTTTTTTTTTTTGTCTCTCTAATCTTTTTTCATTTTAAGTTCATCTCTCTACATTTGATTTTTATCTTAATCGTATCCTTCCATTAATTTTTGAATTAATAGTGTTAACTTGGTTTTTTTTTTTTTAATCTCATCTCTCTAATCTTTTTTTTTTTTTGTCTTAAGTCTTTTTTTAATCAAAATTAAATAAATAAATTTGAGAAATTAAAAAAAATAGAAAAAAAAAGGTGAAGTTATATCTAATCATTCTCTCCAAAAATTGAAAAAAAAAAAAAAAAACTAAACAAAAGCTGAAGCTAAAAGTTTTTTTTTAATCCAAAATATCATTTATGGTTTTGAATTTATCTCTATTATATTAAGCAAATTTTAAATATAACATGATATATTTATATTATTTTATTTTTTAAAATGTGAAAGATTTAAAAAAAAAAAAAAACTTTGAATGGTATTTATAATTTTATAATATCTCAAAAGAGTTTGTTGTAATTTAATTATTTTGATTTTACAATTTCTTAATTTGAAAAATTTAACTAAACTCTCTTTACATTTGAATAAGAATATTATAAATATTTTATTTTGTACTAAAAAATTTTCTTATTATCATAGAGATGCATTTAAAAAAATACTATAAATATTTTATTTTATACTCAAAATTTGCTTACTATTGTATAGAAAAATGTAAGGCTCCAAAAGATATTTTGGATAAAAAGAATATTTTTATCTGCATTTTTTTAGTTTTTTTTATTTTATTTCTAGGGAGAATAACGGGATACATCTTCATTTTTTTTTTCAAAATTTATTTACTTAAATTCTATGTAAAAAGATTAAAACTACAAAACATAATAGATAGATGAGATTAAGAAAGGAAAAAAAAAAAACAAGTTAATACTATTAGTCTAAAAATTAACAGAAAGATAGAATTAAACCAAATATAAATAAATTTAAGACCAAAAAAATAGAATGGCATAATACAAAAAAAATAAATAAATAAAACAAATATCTTCACCCTTTAACCCATTTCTTTTGCACTATCTCAATGGCCCTCTCTATGCTCAAATGCACCACGAGGTTCATGAAAGAAAACCACTTAAATATACTACTAGCCAGCACACTAATTTAATTGTCCAAAATTCACACGGCAGCTGCATTTTCAGCATTTTCTGCGGCTGCATGCATGCGCAGACCCAACAGATGCAGCTTCAGAAACGAAGCTTAAGAGGAACAAATGCAGCTTCTCCTTATCTTTTATTTTCAGCAGTTTTTTTCTAATTGCTTCTCTTGTTTTTCATGCGACTTCTTTGCTTATTTCTTCTTGTCACTAGAAAAGTATTATCCGGAAGTATAACAGAACATGACATGCCAAATGAATACAAGTTATTCTAAAAATAAAAACAGTGGATCTTCTGGTATTAACATCTGCACACTGATGAAGGAAGAGGAATTGTTTTATCTGACACATAGATACGGCAATAGCCCCCACATTCCACTCTTTCTTATTTGTTTTTCTTTGTTTTCTGCGCACACGCACACACATTACAAGACTTTAAACCTATTTATACATCTCCAGGTCAGTTATAAAAACATTTAGGATATGGATTTTTTAGGCTACTAATACTAATTTGTGCTGGTCATTTAGGAAATTGCCTCAGAACGTTGCAGTAAATAGAAGGCAAATGCCAAACTTATGCAATCAATATTTCTTGCATATATAGTTACTGTGACCAAATATAAAATAAGTGTTGGATCACTGATGAAAAAAAATCTTGTTCGCTGGTTTTTGAAGAAGATAGGTATTTACAGCATAGAAACAACAAACATAAAGTTTTCTTCTAGAAAACAGTTCATCAGAGGAAAATCTGGAGCTTGTTGATGTCTTTGCTTTTTTTAGTTTTCTATTCAGCAAAATCTACTTGTTTTCCTGAAAATAAATTAAACCTGCATGCATATTATGAAGGATCAAAAGAAATAGGAGTATTTAACATAGGAAAAGAAAATAAGAAGAGATTGGAATAACAGTATTTATTAATTAGCTAAACTAAAGTTTCCATCTCCATCACCTTACCTATTACATTGACTAAATAAACATAAAGAAATCGAACTTAATCATAGAGGTCAACATCATCATTGTCCCTGCTACCTGAAGATGTAAATGGATTCAAGTCATTAGGTGCTCCTGCAGCTGACTGGGAAAATTTGAAATCAGAACCAAATCCTCTTGATTGCTGCAAGTTTTGAGAAAATGCCTTGTACTTGAGAATATCAGAATAACTAACACTCTTCCTATCATACTTCATTGCCTCCTCAAAATGTGTAACCTTGATTTCAGCCACTTCATCGACTGCATCTTCGTCCATTACTTCAGGACTTTTCGTTCTTTCCCTCTGGATGTCTTTCTCTATCTCTTCTCTTATTGCATATTTGCAAGCCCTTTGGCATATTTCTGTTATATCAGCCCCACTAAAGCCTTCTGTAAGCTTTGCAAGAGCAGCCAGATCAACATGTCTTGACAAAAGGCGATTTTCTAAGGCAGGCCTTGAAGATTTGTAACCTTGAACTCTCATCAGGCAGAGGAATGTATATTAGCTGATCGAGGCGACCAGGTCTCAAAAGTGCAGGGTCTATTATATCCGGCCTATTGGTTGCTCTAATTATAAAGATTGTTTTCTTTGCAGACAAACCATCCATTTCTGTCAAAAGTTGGTTCAAAACTCTGTCAGCACCACCAGAGTCTCCAGTGCTACTTCCTCTACGAACAGCAATAGAATCAAGTTCATCAAAGAAGAGGACACAAGGTGCAGATTGGGGTGCCTTGTCGAAAGCATCTCTAACATTGGCCTCACTCTCTCCAAACCACATTGTTAGAAGCTCAGGACCCTTGATGCTAATGAAATTAGCTTGACATTCATTCGCGATTGCTTTAGCTAGCAAAGTTTTTCCACGACCAGGAGGCCCATAGAAAAGCACCCCTCTTGAAGGAGACATACCAAACTTTTCAAATTTCGCAGGGTGCTCCACTGGACACTGAACTGTCTCTTGAAGTTCCCTCTTAACGGTCTCTAGCCCACCAACATGATTCCAGCTGACATTAGGTACTTCAACAATTGTTTCGCGTAGAGCAGAAGGGCTGCTGGTTCCTAGAACATTTTTGAAGTGACCATTCGTAGCATCCATAGAATTGAGAATCTCAGCATCAATAGTATCATCTTCCAGATCTATTATATCCATCTTTTCTCTAATACATTGGAGGGCTGCTTCAGTACAGAGAGCTGCAAGATCTGCCCCAACAAACCCATGAGTTTCCCTCGCTACTTTTTCCAAGTCCACATCTTCAGTGAGTTTCATTTTCTTTGTTTGAATTTGAAGAACCTCAAGCCGTCCAACTTCATCAGGAACCCCAATGTCTATTTCCCTGTCAAACCTCCCAAACCTTCTTAAAGCAGGATCAATAATACTATTAGGTCTGTTTGTAGCACCGATGACGATTACATGAGCACGGGACTTCAGCCCATCCATCAGAGTCAATAGCTGAGAAACAATCCTCCTCTCAACTTCACCATTCGTCTTTTCGCGCTTGGGTGCGATCGAGTCAATCTCATCAATAAATATAATAGAAGGAGCGTTCTATTCAGCTTCAGCAAAGGCTTTCCTCAAATTGTCTTCACTCTCTCCAGCCAGCTTCGACATGATCTCCGGTCCATTACTACAAAAGAAAAAACAACCGGTCTCGTTAGCAATAGCCCTAGCAATCAAGGTCTTACCAGTAACAGGAGGCCCATACAACAAAATTCCCTTTGGTGGCTTGATACCAATAGTTTTGAAAAGTTGTGGATGCCTTAACGGCAACTCCACCAATTCCCTGATTAGAGCCAACTGCTTCCTAACTCCACCCACATCATCATAACCAACACCATCAAGCCTCTCCTCATCTTCTCTTCTCACAGGTTCCCCTTCACAAAAAATTTCTGTGTCAGGTGCAACGATACAATACTCTTCAGGGTCAGTTTCAACGACCTTGAACTCCACCCTGGTCAAATTCCCTCTTACAAGGAATAAATCACCTTTCCTCACTGGCCGACAAGTCTCACTGAAATAAGGCCTCAAATAAGCATCAAATAGATTTCCAGTGATGCCTTCGACATTGTCATCCAAAGGAAGTACATGTACCTTTTTGGCATATTTTATATCAGTGCATAGATAGACCGTAGACGGATACAAAATCACCAAGCTTGTCCCTTCTTTTCTTTCCTTTGATCAACACCGTGTCTCCACGAAAAGCTGAAGCGTTTCCATGGTTTCAGGATGGAGTGAAACGGTAGAGATATCACCATCCAAGGCTTCTTCAACAAAAAGCCTGTTTGCTGCTCTCTTGGAACTGCCTGAAGATTCTCCTTTACTGCTCATTGTCGAATCCAAAGATTGAAAAATGGAAAATATTAGGGTTTCGTGAACAAATTAGAGAATGCAGAGGAGCAAAAATGATCAGTAAAGGATATGATTTGTGAGGAACAGCAAGGGCTGTAGGGTGTATAGTGTATACATATATGATATATATAAGCGTGGGTTACTTTTCCAAATTTTATTGGGACTCCTAGTCCTATGAAAACATGAAATCAATTTCCTGTTCTTGGATGAATTACGGTAGAGCAAGAGAGGCTAACATTTCATGTGAGATTTGACTATGTCTATAATGTCCGAATTGTTGGAGGATCGCATAAAAAAGGAGGCTTGCTAGGAAAAGTTTAGTCCTTTCCTGTTTGTGAATTTTGGTGTTACTTGGGAACTAAGAAAAGACGTAAATAATAATTAAGCAAATTAAAAAGAAAACAGACTCGTGAATCCTGATACTGATAGGAAAACAAAACTGGAGATTCAAGTCCTGATAAGGGAGGGACTATTACATAATCTTATTGAATGCCATTCCAGAAAAAGAAACAACGGAAATAATTTAAAAAAAAAAAAAAAAAAAAAAAAAAAAAAAAAAAAAAACCCTTATAAATAGTAATCTTCATTTACCAAAATAAATAAATAAATAATTTATTGTTGTCTTCTAGAAATAAAATTTTCATGCATCCTCTAGTCTATCGAAATAAAAAATGGGGGTATGCCTAAGGTGGATTCGATCTCAATGCTTGAAAGCTCATCTAAGATTATAAATTTCCCGTAAATAATTAAAAAAAAAATGTAGTCCTCATTTATGAACACAAAATCCATAGATAGATACAAATTGGGCTGAAATGCGATCCCTCAGCACGCCTAACTTGAGCTGACTTGCGATGCAGTGTTTCTTTCGACAAATCCTGATCAATGGGATAGATTACCGAATTGCAAGATCCTCATGTTTTTTCCCATTACTCCAGCTATCTTGAAGTTGCTTATGCTGTCACTTGTTTCCCAATTTTGCTGTCATCGCCAGCTTTAGATCATGTTGGTGATTTAATGATACTAATGGGAACTCGCTTTCGTGCCTTTGTAGATGGGCTACAAGTTAACGTGTTGCAACGCATGCACGCAAGCTTGCTTGTCTTGTTTATTTATAATTTATACAGGTAAAACTTGGGATTAGAAAACCAATAATGAGTGAAAAATAAAATCAAGATGCAATTGTCTGTTGGCGAATCAGAGTTCCTTGGAGTCTTCTCAGGCAACTTGAAGCCGGATCGCCTAGAATGTCCCCAGGGGGAAAGCTAAGTTTAAAATATAAACGATTTTTCAATTCGAAAAACAGACAGGTCACTTGAGTATCGTTTTGGTTCTCAAAGACTTGTGAATCGTCGGCTTAAGATGCTGAGTCTTTCATTCCAGGATCCCTGCAAACATTGAAGCTCTTGTAAGCTTCACGGCAGTATCTGCCTCTCAGTCTCGCTAAGCATATATGTTCCTTGTGATTCACAACAAAACATTGAATTTCTATTTCAATCGGTGTAAACTTTCAAGCTGAAGAGTACATTTGTTCCCGACACATACATTGTTCACTCAAGTGACCATATCACTCTCATAGATAGGAGAACCATGGCTGCATATCAAAAACAGCGATGTCATTCCATGCCATTGAATTCAAGACAAATTATGCTTGGATTTCTTTTTTCGGGGTTGTTCTCCAGATACAGCAATATAATCTTCTGGATTGACATTCTTAAAAGCCTTCTGCTTTCCAAGCTCCTTTGCCTTTTTCTGCAGAACAACCAGTGCAACAAATTTTAACAAAAATCATCAAATAACATGACATCCCATTTTCTGGAATTGTGATTTTAACTTTATTATAAGTGAAATATGCTTGAGGCAATAAAAATAAGATCATCATGATTACAAGACAAATCCTCTTCTGTTTTTCTGTACGCAGAGTATATGGCATTATGATGTAATTGACAGTTTATGATGAGAATTACCTTTAGCGACATGGCCATGGCAGCCACATCTTTGTTATTATCTGCAGATGTACTAGGATCCTGCTTTATGGACTCCTGTAATAGTCACACACATTCCATGAAGGTTATACGAAGTAAAGAAAGAAGAAAAGAAAAAGAAAAAAGATAAGATGCTTATCAGATGGAGATAACCAGCAGAAAGAGCTTCAGAAACGAACCTTAGGAGGAACAAAGGCAGCTTCTCTTTTTCTTTTGTTTTCAGCTGTTTTTTCTAATTGTTTCTCTTGTTTTTCATGCCACTTCTTTGCTTGTTTCTTCTTGTCACTTAAAAAGTATTCTCCCGTCTCCAGTTGTATATCTTCCTGCAGGTACAAGATTACATTGCATGGCAAATGTATATTAGTTCTGATAAGAACTACCTAAAAGTCAACAAAACGACTGAGCTTCTGGTATTAACATCTGCACATAAAAGTGCATTGATGCAAGCAAATTCAAAGACACCTTCCAGTAATTGTGCATATTTTATCCAACCATTACGTTAGTAATAGAACTAGTGGCTCGACTCACCCAACTATATTCCCCAACTAAGTATTAAGCAACCTTGTGGCAAGAATTTTTATTTAATCTCCCATAAAACATAATTGCAGGGAAAAAAATGAGGAGAAGAAAAACAGGAAGGGTATTTGATAGAGAGAGAGAGAGAGAAGCATTCCCAATGAAATTGCCTCCAGAACATAGAAGTATATAAGGCAAATGACAAATCCTATTTTGTGGTTTTCAAATGAAAATATAAGCTTTTGCATTTGTTTTCATATTCAAGAAACACATTATTCGTGCCACAAACCGTACCTTCTTTTAGTTTGAAAAACTTACTCTTAGTGTGAAAAGAAAAGTAAATTATAAGCAGAATCACAAAATTTTCAGTTCCTAGCATTATAATACTAGTCACACTAGCAGAAATAATCTCTGGGTGAAATTTAAAATATATAGGAGGACAAAGCAGAGGTCTCACCTTGCTAGGTTGTTGAGGAGGAGGGAATGGTGCATCTTGTTTCTTCTTTTTACTCTTAACCTTCTTTTGTTTGACAGTCTTCCTGAAATTATCCACGTAATTCAGCAACAAAAATAAAGAACATACAGAAGCAGCAAAGACGAGAGTGATTAGAATATGTGGAAACAGAAAAGGTTATTCAGACGGTACATACTTCTTATATTTAGGAAGGAACCTATCCCAGTTCTCATTTTCAAGTGCAGGATCTTTTTCAAGTTCTTTCTTCATCATAAGAATCTACATCATAAAGATAATAAAGGTTAACAACACAGGGTATGTTGATAGATTTTCAAGCGAAAAACTCCACGAGAACAAATATACAAGAGAAAACAACTATGGTGGAAAGAAATAATGCCCAAAAACAACAACTATATACAGCTATGGAAGATGGAAATGATGCAAAAAACAACTATATATAGCAAGCAATGCAAGTTGCCTGCACCTTGATATGGTATACAGGATGCATTTTATTTTGTATGCAGTCTTCAACAATCCTCCTGGCTTGTTTTAAACCTTTAAATGAGCCCATAGCAGCAACAGTGTTTCCCTATAAGTCAGAAGAAAAACATAAATACTAATTCTGTCCATGGTGCTATATTTCTTTGAGAACAGGGGAAAAAAATATTTTGCTATCAAATTACAAGCAATAATGATCACCTGAACTAGAATATAGCAGCCGGTCAATAGTTCTAGTGCCTGCACCAATGCATTATGAGGACAAGTCAGTATGTACAAGATCCACCTTTTATTGGTTTTTGGTTCAGGTAAAGAGGGTTGGGAATCTTATAAAAAAATTTGAAAGAAAATGCACACACCTTTAAGGTGGATGAATTCGGGCCCACAAGGTTTTGTCTTCTCTTAACAAATCGTTCCTGCAAATAATAACAGAAAACTGAATTTGCTCCTGAAGACTCTTAAATACTGGATTATTGACAAATATTGAACAATTGATATAGTTATGACGTGAAATGTTTCAATTGACCAGTAAGGATTTTGTCAATATTTTTTCTACATTGGTTTTTTTAAAAAGATTTTGTTGTCAAAAAACGATAACAGCTCAAGTCACTTAACCTGTACCCAACTACAGTTAGGATACTTATATGTTAACTTCTATGGAATAATTTAAGCACCTACCTTATTACGGATCATGTTGCCAATCTTGATGATGTCGCAACTCATATCATCATTCAAAATTTTGATCGCCTGTAACATAAAGAATTTAAATAATCACTATTCTAAAACCAATACAAAGCTAACCAAATGAGAAATATGCATCATATATATTTAGCCTAACCCTGAAACATTAGTTTTTATGCTTTTATAACCTCAACCCACACGTTCTATATATTCAGAACAAGAGACACACTCAGTTTTTTAGTTGGATGTCAATCAAAGGTTCTTTTATAGCTACACTAAAATAAATACAAAAATAAATTTAACGAGGGCAAGACAGAAATACAAAAAATAAAAAAAAATACTTCGGTGCTTTGAGCTTATGTGCCTAGCTTGCCTACAGATGGGTTGAGTAGCGAAAGCAGCTTTCACTTGTGCAACTGTAATTTGAGATTTCAAAGTCACATTTTCAAAAACACCATTCATATACCGTTATGGAATTAACCGCACATGTGTTGATTGCTTAGATTTTGATACAAACATTCCGATGCAGATAGCTAATGTCATTTATCAATAAACCAAACTACCATCTGTTGCACTAACAAAACAACAAACAACAGCACAATCACAACTATAAATAAACCAAAAAAAGCTCATCATACCTGAGGAGCAGGAACACTTCTCGACAAAAGCTTAATAAGATCCCTAGCTTTAACAATAATATAAGGATCCCTGGTCTTTATAGTAGTTTTAACTGTCATCGACCCCTCATTCTAACGACCAGGAAAAAAAATCGATAAGAAACACAATAAAGTTCAATATAAAACTACAGCACAAAAAACAATTAAAAAAAAAAACTTACTTTATTAAGTTCACAATCAATACCAAACTCTTTCAACGCAGATTTCACCATCGGCCACGCATCAGTCAAATACTTCTCTGCCAAGTTAAAACAAAAACACAACACAGAAATAAAAAAAATTAAAATTATTTTAACATAAACTTTCAGCATTTTTGCAAAATTACAGTAGTTTCTATTTTGCAGAGCTTGAAGTAGAGGAACTCAACTAACTTAACTAACTTACCGCGATATTTAGGGAAAAGAGTGGAGAAAGAGCTGACTTCAAGCATTCCGGTTTGATTCCAAGACGGATCGAATTTTTCAATCTTCCAACGGTCAATATTAGGGTCTTCATCCCATGGTTTCGGCTTATCGTGTTTCCCTTTGTGTTTTGGTTTCTTTGTGTTTAATAAATCTGTGTTTTCTCCTGAGTGTGCCTCCATTTTTGAGATGGGGAAGGCTGTAAACCCTAGATAGGTAGCAGTGCAAGAGAGAAGTGAAAACAAAAAACAAAAACAAAAATAGAGATGACATTGTTATTGTTTTTATAGAGAAAAGACATGAAGATGAGGGAGAGCGAGAGAAGGAGAGAGAACTTACAGAGAGAAGGAGGCGGCGGCGAGTGAGGATGAGGGAGAGCGAGAGACGGAGAGAGAACTTGGAGAGAGAAGGAGGCGGCGGAGAGAGGATATAGAGAGAGTGTGTCGTTTTTAGGGTCGGTCACTCCTTCAAAAACCGTATGAGATGAGAGAGCGGGTAGTGAGTGAGAATAGGGCATTTGATGATTTAGGGGTGTTTTGTTATAATTTTACAAATTGCATTTATCTTCTTCGCGGGCTAAAAATTAATTAACAATTAACATTAACATTAACAAAAACAACTAAACCAAAACGTTAGCTTATTGTTTGAAATACTGTTCATTGAACTTAAATCACTGTAGACATAGAGGGATTGTAGCGTTTTTGCCATTTCTTTTTCTTCACCTTCTTTCCTTTTATTTTTCTTTCATTTTTTTTACTTCCTGCATCCCTCTTTTTGCTGGTTTACTAATTTGTCCTTAATGAGCTTTGTTTTTTCCTCTCTCTTCCGGGCCCCCTCTTGCCATTTCATTTCTTTTCCCGTCTAAGCATTCCATGGGGCTGTATCCACATTGTTTCTTCTTCTATTTTTTATGTTTATAATTTTTAACTACTTATATTTTTAGTTTAAAGTTTATAAAAATTATCTTCAATTTTTTTTCTTTTTATGCATTGTTTTGTTAATATATATATATATATATATAATTCTAAGTTAATTTTCTTTGAAATAAACCATTAAGTAAATTATAAAATTTATGTTTTTATTTTCTTATTCTTTGTACAATAAATTTTTATCGGAATAAATTTTATAGTTATTTTTATTGCACTTCATTAGCTTTAATATATTTTTAACAAATTAATGTTTGTAAATACTTTGCAATATATGTTTCACACTTTAATCCACTTATTCAGATCATGATGATTAAGAAATTAAAATAATTGGTTTAATTAAAAATTATTTATGCATCTACATGCATAAAACTAATAATTTGCATTTATTTTTTTCAAATATTCTAATATTAAATTCTTTAAAAAAAAATCAATTAAATCGTCAATTAAATAATATAATTCACTTGTTGTGCACTAAAATAAAATTGATTTAAAGAAAATTTGACGAAAAAGTTAACAAACAGTAATTTTATTTTATTTTATATATATATATATATATATATATATATATATATATATATATTTTTTTTTTTTTTTTTTTTTTTTGGTCTAATATGCATATTGTCATGTACTAAAACAGCATCAATCTGAAAATTTTTTTTTAAATATTAAAAAAAAAAAAAAACTTTAAAGGGAAGAGCTGATAGATTTTTTTTTTTTTTGAAACATTTGGGATCAAATTGATAGTTTGGAATGCAATTTAAAATAGACATATAGATTTCTGATTAAATTAAAGTTTTTCTTATTTAGAGTTTAGTCCAGCTTAAAATAAACAAATGTGACATGATCTCGTATCTCTGTAAGGTAGATATGTCATGGCCTTTTAGCAGGACATGAAGTGATCTTATTAAACTTATGTTTTATGTTTGCCATTTTCTTACTTATAATTTTATTTATTATTTCCTTAATGCTTCAATATCTCATTATATAATAAAGTAATTTATTAATTTATTTTTATATTTCTAATTAAGCTAATGAATATACTTTAAGTTATCATTTTTTAGATAATTATCAAAATTAATTTCATAATTTACACATAATTATTTTTATTTTAAAATATTCTTAAATTGTAATAATTGGTTGTATAATTTACATATGATTATTTTTTATTTTCAAAATATAATTATAAATCAGATAATAGAAGGTTTTTATTTTTTATTATGAACTACACACTATTAGTCTCTATTGAGTATTTTTTTCAAAACAAGATACTTTTAAATCTTATTTACAAAAATAAGATTGTTTAAATTTTATTTACCAAAGCAAGATATCTTTTGTTATCCGAATCAAATCACCTACATATGTTAGTTTTTTTAATACTAAATTTAATAATAATTTTACAAAATTTTAAAAATAAATATCATTTACAAGACATCAGCTTTGTTAGTTATGATTATCAAATAAAATCAAATACTAGCATATCCAATCCCACAAACTCATTAACAAAAAAACAATTGCTTTAGTAAATTCAAAATAAATAAATCACAAGGATTTATTTATTTTAGCTTTACTAGAGCAGCTTATTTAGTAACTCGATAAGAGAATTGCGCGAACTCAAGGTGTCGAGAGAGATGCCAATAGACATAGAAAGGTTTGGCTTTTAAGTTTTAACGCTAGAGAGAGAGAGAGGGAGAGATGAATAGAAACCCCGGGAAGCTAATCTTGATGAGGATAAATACGGAAGGCATGGAAACCATGTTTTGCCGAGAAAATTTATACTACTCAAGGATTAAATAGTGACATATACAGTAATTACTTTATAAAATCACTTGGAAGAAAAAGATAGACATAAAAAAAGGAGAGAGAAATAGAAGAGAGAAAATTAAAAAAAAAATTGAACGAACGTGAAAATCTTCTTATCACTTTTTATCCAAGTAGATTCATGAAGTAATTACCGTACATGTCATTAGTTACTTCTCAAATATTATAAAATTTTCCATGCTTGGATCACAACAACCGTCACTATTGAGCAAGCGTAAGGCCCTAATGGAACCTTCATCTATGTCACGAAGCTATCAATGCCTCACAAGCGAATAGCGCAAATGGATCTGGTTGATGAACCGATGGAATTAGAACTATTAGTATTTGATTCTATCTAGTAATCATAACTAATGAAACAAATGTATTGCAAATAATATTTATTTTCAAAATTTTGTAAAATTATTAGTAAATTTTGTATGGAAAAAACTCGACATGTATAGATGATTTGAGTTATATGACATGACAAAAATTATCTTCTTTTGACAAATAAGATTACAATCTTATTTTTATAAATAAGATTTAAAAGCATATTGCTTTAGGAGGGAAAAAAAAAAAAAAAAAAAAACCTCTCATCCATCAAACCCAGCAATTCATTTTACACTAAAGTGAAAAACCGGTATGCTGGCTCCTAAAGAACCGCATATAACTCCTGAATCTTCAAATTCATTTTGTTAAATTCCATAGCCTGTTATTTGCCTACGCATTACGATTTTGCTCCTCTCCATTTTCTAGAAAGAAGGAAGGGTGGGGGTTGTGAACTTGCTCAGAAAAATCACAAACAAATCTGTGCGACTTTAATCCAGCTCACAAATATACTCAGCTAACAGTTCCGTTTTAGACACTTCGACTCAGTTCACAAATATACTCGGCTACAAATATTTTCAAAGCATCACCAATAAAATCAGTGGGACTAGACTGCTAATTGGCACCATAAATTACGATAAAAGTCCGACAAAATACAATCTTTCCAAGAGCATACAAAGACTAAACAAACAATCACCACAAACACATACATGCATAATCTGCTAAGGAATGCATCATATGAAAATTAAATATATAGCATGATAATAATGAAATAGTTTAAAGCATACCAACATCATCACAACATGACTGAAGTTCTTATACGAGAACAAAACACTAGACAGATAAAAATTCTACATGTCACAATAAGTCACTACTAATCCACAGTAACAAAATTTAAAAACATCACAAAATAACAAGGCTGCAAGAACCAAGCAGCACAAATGCCCATCTGTGTATTGTCATCTCTCAAGCTAATCAAGTTGCATCAACATGAAAACCGAAATGCCTTTGCTTCCTGATTTCTGTAACAAGCTGACACTACTGACCTACAGCTTGTCCTCAAACTCGGATAACGGGGTCATCTGCTCCTTCAAACCCTTTCGCTTCCTGATATCTGTAACAAGCTGTGCTGCTTGAGTACCGGCCTCCAATGGATCAGAAGACATCATGTCCCAATGGTCAAAAACACATTGTGGGAAAGCCTGTCCTGATGTTGCAGCCCTCAAAGTGCCTGAAAATCCAAAAGACTCGACCACAGGAAGATATGCCTTGATGTTGTAAAGAGGGGTGCCAGGCCTCTGCATTTCCTCAAAGACATGACCACGTTTCTGGTTAAGAACACTGTAAATGCCACCAAGTGCCTGCTCAGGGGCTTGGATCTCCACCAAGTACACAGGCTCCAAAAGTCTGGGCTTGGCAGTGAGCTGGGAAGCATAAATGACCCTCCTAGCAGTGGGAATGACCTGACCACCACCTCTGTGAATGGCATCCGCATGGAGAACCACATCACAGACTTCAAAGCAGATGCCTCTCATGTTCTCTTCAGCCAAGGCACCTTCCTTTGAAGCCCACTGGAAACCAGCTACAACAGAATCCTTGATTTCATTCAGGTACTGAACTCCCTTACACATATCCACAACCATGTTGGGTCCAGTGGTCTCAGGACCAAAGCACCAGATTTTCTTCGCAAGATCCTTGTCCCAACCAAACTCCTCGGACAAGATCTTGGCACGGTTCTTTGGATCATCTCTTGGACCAATACGACCGTCATCAATAGCCTCCGCAAGCCCTTCTTCCAAGGGCCGTGCCTCCATGTACAGACGGTTGTGCTTGTTAGGAGATTTGCTCATCACAGTGCGGCATGACTTCTCTAGGACAGTCTCACGGAATGACACAACAGGATCAGACTTGATGATTTCTGCCCCACCCATAAAATCATCCTGCAAATCCTTCAAACAGATCTCAAGGTGGAGTTCTCCAGCTCCAGCAATGATATGCTCTCCAGATTCCTCGATGCTACAGACAACCATAGGATCAGACTTGGCCAAACGCTTCAGACCTTCGACCAGCTTAGGGAGGTCAGATGCTACCTTGCATTGAACAGCCACACGCACAACGGGTGAGACAGAGAACTTCATGGCGCGAATAGGGTGGGCATCAACTTCCTTTTCATTAGTTAAAGTGGCATTCTTAGTGATGAACTGATCCAATCCAACCATAGCAACAGTGTTACCACAAGGCACATCCTCAACAGTTTCTTGCCTCTTTCCCATCCAAATGACAGTTCTCTGCACACTCTTCACATACAAGTCCTTCTTCTCACCAGGGACAAAGTTTGGTCCCATGATTCTAACCTTCAGACCAGTTGAGACCTTTCCAGAGAAAACACGCCCAAAGGCAAAAAACCTACCCTTGTCAGAAGCAGGAATCATCTTAGACACATAAAGCATAAGGGGGCCCTCAGGGTCACAGGTCCTGATTGCATTTGCATAAGCATCATCAAGAGGACCCTCGTACAAGTTCTCCACACGGTACTTCTGAGCTGTAGCAGGAGAGGGCAGGTGAAAGATCATCATTTCAAGCAGAGCGCTACTTGCTGGCAACCAGGTCTGCATTACACGCTTCATCAGAGGCTTTCCCATCAAGTCCTTCTCCTCAGACTTCATGACCACACCAAGCTTTTGCAACATGGGCCACAATTTATCCTTCTGGTCATTCATGCAAGTGTTAATGATCTGCTTGATTGGCTCATAACAGAACTGCACGAAACCACGCTTGCACGTAGCAGAACCAGTGTTCTTGGTAGTCCATTTTTTGGTAGCAGGATCAAAAAGTTCTCACCCCACAGCCTCTCCATCATCTTAGACTCATCCACTCCAAACTTCGAGGCATACATCTTGGCAAAGTTGGTCAGGGTGAATGCCCAACCATGCAAACCAGCAGAGAAAGCAACAGTTCCCTTCTCAGGGTAGACTTGACAGTCACCAAGTAGGGGATCTTCATAAGTTGCCATGATGACATTGGCATTCTCAATAACCCTAGAGAATGTCTGGTAAGCTTCCTCTCCATCAACCTGAAGCTCAAGGAAGCACCTGTCCATCTTGTTCACAGTCAAGACAGGCCTGATCCTCTCTCCCAAAGCCTGACGAAGCACAGTTTCAGTCTGAACACACACACCCTCAATGCAGTCCACCACCACGAGGGCACCATCAGTAATACGAAGAGCAGCTGTGACCTCAGATGAAAAGTCAACATGTCCAGGAGAGTCGATAAGATTGATAAGGTACTCATTTCCATTTCTGTCTCCCTTGTAGCTCTTAAGGGCCTCATCAGACATTTGATAATATAGTGAGATACCAGTAGACTTGATTGTGATACCACGTTCTGCCTCATCTGCACGGGTATCTGTCATACGCACATCACCAGCAACCTCTTGGGCAATGATACCAGCAGCAGCGACAAGAGAATCAGTAAGAGTTGATTTTCCTGCAAATCATCAATTACAAACAAAGATTAAAGAAGGACCCAACAAGGAATTTTTCACATCATCGCATATAAACAACTTACCAAGAACGCAAACATTCAAAAACATAAGTAAAATAAGCATATACGAATATAAATGTCAAAAATAATAATAATAAAAAAAAAAGACTTTCTCCTATGACAACATAAAGTAAATGAAACATTGAAAACAAAAAATGCAGATTACAAATCAGGAATTTTAACCATTGAAGCAACCTAACCTACAATATTAAGAAGTATGAAAAGTAATCACTGCCAAGAAAAACAACTTATCGTTGCACATCTAGAGTTGATTCAAAGAACTACAACAACAACACCAATAGTACCAGTCAAAAGCATAAAGTATATGCATCCAATTCAACTGGATATTCAATTAGCGGATAGATTAAATAAATTCAAACGAAAACTTACCATGATCGACATGAGCAATAACAGACATATTACGGATGTTATGCTTGAAGTCCATAATACGCCGAAGCTCCTCAGCTGTAAACTTCACCATCTTGCCTAGCTTCTAAAAATTTTACTTACAATAACACCTGCACAAACAAACACAAACAGAAACAGAGTTTCATCAAAATATTATCCAAAAGACACAAAAATCAATCATTTTATGATCTAGTCAACACAAAAGAAAGATCCATTAAAAACCCAGTTAGTAAAAATATCCAAAAAAAAGCAATCAAGAAAGTTAAACAGCCCGGTGGCTAAACAGACAGATCTAGACAGAAAAGACACGAAGACAAGGGAGAGCGAGAAGAGGAGAGAGAACTTACAAATGGAAGGAGGCAGCAGAGAGAGAGGAGAAAGAGAGAGAGTGGTTTTTAGGGTCACTCACTCTTTCAAAAATGTACGAGACAAGAGAGAGGCCGGTGGCTAAGATTAGGGCATTTATGTGTGTGTTCTGTGGTTGACTAGGGTTTACATTTTTGGTGGGCTATTGTTAATTGGGTTCTGGTGTTGGGCTCTTATGGTTGTATTTATGTTACCATAACTTAAGCCCGATTTTGCCACATCCTACGGACTATAGGAGATGCTTAGGGATCGCTAAAGAGAGAGTTTTAGCTAGGGATGAGCAAACGGTTCGATTAACGGAAAATCGAATCAAATCGAATCGAATTTTATAATTTAGTTCGATTTTAAAAAACAAATTATAAATTTTAAAACCGAACTAAAAAACCGAAATAATTTCGGTTTGGTTTGGTTCGGTTTTTGAAAAAAAAATTTGGTTTCGATCGAAAACCAAAATAAACCGTAAAAACTAAAAAAATCCTAAATAATTCTAATTTCTAAATCCCTAATTCACACAAACACTAAAATGCTTTCGACCACACCCACATCGCCGCACGCACCTCGCACCTAGTTTTCTCCTTCTCATTCTATGATTTCGTCTTTCCTAACTAGCAATCGACCTTCATTCCCTTCTTCTTCTCCGGTTCTCTTCTCGTCCCTCATTACTCATTCCTTTAGAGTCCAATCCTCCTTCAAATTCCAATCTCACCGATCACCATCAATTGTTTGTTTACCTATCACCACCACCTCTCTATCATTTTCCTCCGATCGTCGATCATCGGTCATCATCCACCCTCTCCTCCTCCTCGCTTAGCTACTATTGGTCTCTTCCTCTACTCGCGAGCTCGTCCAAGGTCGGTATGTACTCATGAACTCACCGTCATTATTCCTTATGTGATATTTAAGTATTCATTGAGTTGTGGCATGTGGTAGATTATTACAAATATAGGATCTCGGTTATTGAACCTTTCATTGGATTTTTATTGAATCTGGAAATCAATGCATAAATTGATTATTTTTGGGCATCGGCATAATCAGCCCTCATATTCATATTTAGTTTAATTCTAATACTTTTTTGTCATTCATTGCAGTTAGGATTTGCATAGAATATGCATATATAGGTTACATGTAAATGATTATTGGGAGTTGAGATTCGTTGTCTTGAATCCCTTGATAAGCTCCGTTATAGTGTTATTATTTACATTTTGGGATTGCGGTTAGAAGCTTTCAAATTCCTAATGCTATGGCAATAATGTTGGTTATGTTGGACTTGTAGCTCGTTGTAGTGTTGGACTTATAGCTTATTTTTGGGATTGGTATTGAGTTTCGGGAGTTAGGAGTCAAGGCGGTAATGCCTTTCCGGTTTCCAGCCTAGTGGGCGGTGAGGAGACTTGTGGATGTCCGGCAATTGGCGGATGATGAGTTAATGACAAGTGTGAGTCGACTTACCGACTTGTGAAAGTGATCGAGAGGATGAAGAAGAATTATCTTTATGTTGTTTGAACTTTGAAATATGTTTGATATTTGTTTATGTGTGATTGACTTATGACTTATTATTCTACATTAGCCTACTTTGATAGTAAAGAAGAAGTAGGTTCAATGTTGTTTGAAATATGTTTAACATTTGTTTGTGTATGATTTAACTATGATTGACTATCGAGCATTGAAATTTAAAACAATAGCATTAACCTATTGTCTAGGATGAAGAAAAATTAGCTTTGTGTTGTTTAATGCTTTTTGGGAAGAGAATGAGATACCGTGAACCTATGAATTGTGATATTGTAATTCAAGATTTAAAGCTAGCCTACTATTTTAGTTTTGGTTTTAGTGATATATTTTATTATTAATGTTATGTTGTTGAATGCATGCTTCCTTTTTAGCTTTGATGATAGATATGTATACTCGTATTTCTCTATTTTTAATGTTCTATAAGCTTTCTTAAGCCCGGTCGTGGTTGAGAACCTTAGTCGGACTAAGAAGCAGAAGAAGGGATTTTAGGTTAGAGAAGAAAAAAATGAAAATATGGGAAATAGTCCAAATGGTGAAATGGACATGCATACCGGGCTAGGAACTAAGAAGGAAATAAGGTATTAGTTTAAAGCTTGTGTTTGCTAAACCGTGTATGTATAGCCACCGAGAGTAGACAATAGAGCAAGAAAATAAGCATGTTTTGAATAGAGAAGGTCATAAGGGAATTAAAAAAAAACAGAGAGGAGAAAGGAGAAAAGGGTAGGTCCGAATAAAAAATAATAATAAAGAAAGAGAGATCCATACCGAGGAAGGAGCGGCTAGCAGAAGGAGAATGAAACTTGGGTCGAGAAGAAGAAGAAGGGATTTTAGGTCGGGGAAGAAAAAAGGAAAAAGAAAAGAAATGGTCCAAATGGATGTACAAATTGGGTTTGGAATTAGGAAGGAAATAGAGCTAAAGATTGTTTTGCTAAACTATAATTTTGTAGATTAATAGGGATATATATATTTTACGACGAATTATTTCGGTTAAAATTGAAATTTTTTGAAATCGAACCGTAATAATTCAATTTCAAATCGAATTTACTAAATTTATTTTGATTCGGCTTCGATTTTTGTTTTTCTTAATTCGATTAACCAAAAATCGAACCAAATTGTCCGAAATGGAACCATTTAACCGAATGATCGCCCCTAGTTTTAGCGCACTCCTTAAATTATTAGCTTTGTTATTGTTAGGTGTGTTTTATTTTTCGATTTTACAAGATATAAAATATTTGTCATTAAAATTATTTTAGAAGAGATTTAATCTCAATTGACATACAAATTAATTTAACAATATTTTTATTATTAAATAAAAAATATAAACAAGAGACTCACAAAACATATACATAGATTATATTTTTATATTACGAAAAGAAATTATAACTCGAGTACAATGAATAACCACCTAACCTTATTCGCTTCTTTTTTAACTTTTCTCTTAACTCAAACTAGTTAAATAATATTGTTTATTTTGTTAGTTTTATTATATAAAAAATATTACAAAAACGAAATAAAAAGACCACTATGTCCCAAGCCAAGGAGTCGAATCTCATTACGTTGTATAATATGCTATTAAAATCATCTTTTTCTTCAAAAAAAGTATAAAATAAAATAAAAGGGTTTACGTCTATCTTTTGATGGGTCAATCGACTTAATCTAGCGACCCATTTTAAATCTAGAACATGCTTACTTGGTTTTGTATTGGGATTTAATAGTTATGTTCTTTTTGTTTTTTGTGTAATTTCTTATGAATGTATATAAATGAAATGGTCTATTTATGATCGATTAAAAAGTGATTTAGTTTAATTTTTTAAAAGTTGATTTGATAACATTTTGGTCTTCATGAGGAAATTTATAAGAGTATTTTTTTTAATTTTTTTAAAGTTGATTTAAGAATAAATTCGACCTCATGAGTAATTTTTTCAAGGACTCCCAAAAATAATAAGTCCGAATTTTTTTTATTTCGGATGTGAGTTAAAATAAATTTTTAGAGTCACCACCTAGTATTTTAAAGAAACTAGGAACCTAAAATTAACACCGTTTTAAAGATTCTAAGGTAAGGAGTTGGTTATGCTTTTTAAAAGATATCAATCACTCAAATGTACCTTTTTTTTTTAAAAAAAAAAGGGTACCACATCCGATTTAATCTTAAAAGTTTATCTCCTAAAAGTTTTATTTTTGCCAAAATGTTTATAAGTCAAAATTTCAAGTTTTATTTCCTAAGCCAAATTGATTCTTTATTTTTTATTTTTTTGTGACATCATATTGAATCAATCGTCGGATTCCATTATTAAGAGTCTCGTCAATTCAAAATCGGATCTAGTTTAAGCCTCGACATAATCGGTACGTCGGAGAACGACCTAATTTCTAAAATGTGATTGATTTGAGTTAACATCGATCCCTATTGGATATGACATTTTGTTAATTTTTACTTGTATTTTCTCTATTTTTCTTTTATTCTTTTTATTTTCTTTTATCATTTTCTTTTCTTCTTTTTTTTATATTACGAAAAGAAATTATAATTCCGAGTATAATGAATAACGACCTAACCTAAATTCACTTCTTTTTTAACTTTTCTCCTAACTCAAACTAGTTAGATAATATTGTTTGTTTTGTTAGTTTTATTATATAAAAAATATTACAAAAACTAAAATAAAAAGACCATTATGTCCCAAGCCAAGGAGTCGAATCTCATTGAGTTGTATAATATGGTATTGAAATCATCTTTTTCTTCAAAAAAAAAAGTATAAAATAAAATAAAAGGGTTTATGTCTATCTTCCGATGGGTCAATCGACTTAATCTAGCGACCTATTTTAAATCTAGAACATGCTTACTTGGTTTTGTATTGGACTTTAATAGTTATGTTCTTTTTGTTTTTTGTGTAATTTCTTATGAATGTATATAAATGAAATGGTCTATCTATGATCAAATTAAAGAGTGATTTAGTTTAATTTTTCAAAAGTTAATTTGATAATATTATGGTTTTCATGAGTAAATTATAATAGTAATTTTTTTAAAAATTTTTTGAAAGTTGATTTGTGAATAATGTCGCCTTCATGAGTAAATTTTTCAAGGACTCCCGAAAATAGTAAGTTTGGAATTTATTTGTTTGGGAGTGAGTGAAACTAAGTTTTTGGAGTCGCCACCTAATATTTTAAAGAAACTAGGAACCTAAAATTAACATTGTTTTAGAGATTCTA